TGATTTGTGTTTGTTTTAATCTTGCCATACATTTAAACATACAAAGAATAAATTGCGAGGAAAATTATATTATTACAAGGCTTCGAGAGAGTTACAATAAAAGCAAAAGAATACCCAAAATGTCGGGGCGATAATAAATTAAAGGGGGCCCAAAACAACGGGGCAACAATAAATTAAAGGCCCAAAACATCGGGGCAACAACAATTAATAACAATAATTAAATAAAATAATCATCCAAATATTTTCAATTAAAAAACCTAAAACCCTAATTTTATAACCTAATTAATTATTATTCTAATCTATTAACCTAATTAATTAATTATAATTACAACCTTTAATTTATTAATTTTTATTTTAATATTAACTTAATCCTAATATTATTAAAGATCTAATTTTAAATATTAACATAACCCTAAAATTTTAAGTTAATTATATATCTAAGTTAATCTAACCTAATTAATTATCTAAATTAAATAATAATTTTAATTAAACTTTAAACTTATACATTATTAAAACTTATATTTTATTTTTATTTTATTTTTTATTTTATTATGTTAACCTAAACCCTAAATAACTATCAAAACCCTAATTAATTAAAACACAGACCCTACTTAATTATTAATTAATTTATTATTATGTAAACAAAATGAGCCAAGAACAAAAATTGTAAAAAAAAAAAAAAATTAAACATGGGTGGGGTGGGAATCAAATTCACCCTCTTTGGGAAGACAAACACACTTCTGACCACTGGGCCACACTCCTTCGATGTCTAGAGTACACGTCCATTTGATTTTATCTCACACATGTAACCATAATGAGAAAAAGAAAAAAAAAACAAAGAATGAATACTAAAAAAATAAAGTCTCCAACGGATCTCGAATCCGCGACCTCTTTCTCACCAGCGAACCCCTTTACCAACTCCTCCAAACTTTCATTTGATATATATATATATGCTTAACATATAATATATAAAAAAATTGTTCCTAATATGATTTTTTTTTTTTAAATTTACGCGCGCTTTTTCCAGGGGGACTGTTCATCATCGTCTTCGTTGATGCCTCAGGTACCTGCGGATTTTGTTAGGGAAAAAACCCGTGAAACTCAAACATGATCATACACGCATTATAAATGGAAAACGAATACATGAAATGATTCCAAAATAGCTTGTGAACTCAACCACAATTTTAGTTTCTCCTAATTTTGCTTATAACGGAAATCCCTCATTTGAAACCGAAAACCCTAACTATGGAAAATTGGTTAACCTGCACTTAAAACTCAATCAAATCATCCATCAATGATAGAAACATTCAAACATTCATGAATATGCAATCAAATTAAACGTATGATGCATGGTTTAATGGAATCGAGAATTTGCAAAAGGGGTGAAATTGCGAACTTGCTCTTACGATTCTGGGTGTTCTAGTTGCTTGTAGATGGTTGGGATTGATCAGAGAACAACAATGAACACAATGTAAAGCTTGAGATGCCTTGAATTTGTTAGAACATGGAATGTTGCTAGCATATCTTGGTTTTGATGATAACAAGAGTAAAATGAGGGGATCAAAGTTTACAAGAGAATATGATACTCTGACTTGGTATTTAATCCTTTATGCAGATTTCAGAACGTAGAAGTTCTGTCAGGCAAAGAGTTTCTTCTACTGACGTTGTAAGCTGCAACCTCTGTTGAGGAACACAACAGTAAAGAAGGAAGCAAATGCTGACGCTCTCTTAAGCTGCAACCTCTGTTGAGGAAAACACAGCAGGAAAGAAGAAATCAAATGCTGACGCTGCAACCTCTGTTGAGGAAGTCGCAGCATGAAGTAAAGAAATGCTGACGCTGGAAAGCTGCAAAGGAAACAAGTGTTGACGCTGTCAATAGCAACCTCTGTTGAGGAAACAGAAGCACGGAAGAAAGAATGATATGCTGAACTGTCTCTCAGCATCAAAGCTCAAATGCTGACTTAATCACTGTAAGTGTATTATAGTCTATTTTATTCAAGCATGTCTGACTTTGCATTTAATGCAGGCACACTGCTCAAGACACATGGCTGCACGCAATTACCTTATTCAAGTCAAGTCTACTGACAAGGCAAAAGATACAAAGCAGGCATACTATGTTGAGCTAAAGGCTACATTCAACGGTCTTATCTACTGCCAATATTCTGACCAGTGAAAGCGACAACTTGTCCTTCCAACGGTAACAAATTGGAGTATAAATACTGAAGCCTGAAGAATGAAGAAGGTTACCTATCTTGAACAACTTTGCAAACAATTTTGAGAAACAAGCAAACGTAAAGAAAAGCCTTCAAGAACAACTTCATCTTCTACATTCTTTCATTCCTATAATAGGCTTTTGTCTTAGGAAATTTCTTGTTTACATATCACTTTTGTGATCTTCTGTAAACAACTCAAATACTTTTTTTTTATTGTAAGTGCCTTAGGAGATCCAGTTGTGATCAGAATTCCTAAGAAGTCTAGGGTAGTTAACCTTAGAGGATTTTGTGTTAGTCACACAGTTAGTGTGCAGGTGTTAGTCACAGCAGTTGTCTGTGCAGGATTATTAGTCACACAAGTGTGTGCAGGAAGTTAGTCACAGCAGTTGCCTGTGCAGGTTGTAAGTCACACAGTTAGTGTGCAGGATTGTTAGTCACAACAGTTGGTTGTGCATACTTGTAATCAGTTTGATTATTAGTGGATTAAGTCCTTGAGTGAAAAGGCAAATCATCCTAACGGGTGGACTGGAGGTAGTTGAGTTCAACGAACCAGGATAAAAATAATTGTGTTATTTATTTTTGTGTTAAAGTTTTTAAACATACACTTATTCAAACCTCCCCTTTCTAAGTGTTTTTCCACCTTCAATTGGCATCAGAGCACTAGTCTGAGTGCATACACCTTAACAAGTGTTCAGTAAAGATCCAACCACACATATTATGGCCGCTGCTGAAAACACAAATTTTAACACTATTGATACATGTGTTATACCTCCTATGTTTGATGGAGAAGACTTCAGCTATTGAAAGGATAGACTGGAGAGTTTCTGTTTGGGGTATGATGCTGACTTATGGGATGTTATAACTGATGATTATACACATCTAGTAGATAAATCTGGAAGCAGAATTGAGAGAAAGGCAATGGATGAACAACAAAAGATAAACTTTCAAAATCATCACAGAGCCAGAAATATTCTGCTGAGTGCCATATCCATAATGGAATATGAGAATATGAGCATGAGCATCAAGGAGTCAGCACATGACATCTATGAGTTCATCAGAATGACTCATGAAGAAAAAGCTCTAAGAGAAGAAGAAAACACTGAAGAATATGATTAAGAGGAAGAGTTGCTAGCTACATGGGATGATTGTGAATCATCTGATGCAGAAAGCAAATCAGAAGATGAAAGAGCAAACGTGGCACTCATGGCCACTCAGTCAGAAGATTCAGACTCTGAGTCTGACTGTGAAGAACTACAGGTATTCTCTGACTTTACCAGAGGTGAGCTTGAAAGCTCTTTGGCTGAACTTCTAGAAAGTTACAGCAATTTAAAACTGAAGTACAAGGTTCTCCAAAAAGTACCTTCTTCTGAAATTTTAAAGCTTAAAAGTGAAAACTCTGAGCTGAAAGAAACTATTTTAAAACTATCAGAGGATTTGCAAACTCTGAAAAATTTTGTTAGCTCAGAAGATACTTCTTCTTCAAAATCCATACTCAAAGAGTATGATATAAGCTTTCAAAGATTTATAGCAAACAACATAGATCAAAGCAAAATGGCTTATATGATCTATGGTGCTGGCCATAAAGGAAGAAATGGTATTGGTTACGTAGCTTCTGCTGAAAAGCTTACGTGTAAACCAACATCCTTGGCCAAAACAGCTTTCAAGGTCAAACCTCTGGGAAACAATATTGCTTATAATTATTCTCAAAATGTTAAATATAATGCTTGCTCTAACAATGTTTATGTTAAGCCAAGAAGCAATAGAACCTTTCAGGCTAGACCTAAGGTAAGACAGAACTTCCAGGCTAGGCCTAAGTTTAGTCAACAGTACCAGACTAGACCAAGGTTCAGGAGAAATGCTGAAAAGACTAACCACTCTGGACCCAAGAAAATCTGGGTACCAAAAGACAAAATTATCTATGTTGCAGATATGTTAAACAGAAAATTACAAACACCAGTGATGATTCCTGGACAATGGACACTAGCAACAGTTGGAGGGAAGAAAGCCTACATTCCAAAGTGTTGAACTCTGAACCTCTGGAGAAAGAGGTAAAGCAACAGAAGTTGGAAGTAGAAATTCTGAAGGAAAAATCAGAGGATGAACTTTTCAGAAGATTCTCTGTCAGAGGATTCTTAATCAGAGGTTCAGGTCATTCAACTGCTGAATGAAGAACTCTGCTGATAATGAGGACTGATATATGCTGACATGTATTACTCAAATACTCTGTATAATTATCCTCTGAAAAATATCTTGAATATTTCAATTTATTATTTATTGTTGAACATCTGAACAATTGCTCTTCGCAAGTCAGAGGAGAAGTTGCTTCAGAGGATCATACACAAAGTTCTGAAATGCTTACATTTCATTACGAGTATGTATCAGCAGTTCAATAAATTAACACTGTTTGCTGCATGTTTGATCAAGTTAGTGGGACAGCTGTTAAATCTCTGAAAGGTCACGTGTGCACCACACTGCTGAGCTGTGCCTAGGTAACTGTTCAGATCTTTTCCTCACGCGCCTGACTCCCTTAACGTGTCATTGGTCATTTATTGCGCTCATCATTTCAAATTGTCTTTTCCAAAAAGCATTAAATACTTTATTCCTTAAAAACGTTTTGGTTTTCAATTTAGCATTTATTGAACAACTTATTTAAAGGATTTTCTCTCTCATTTTAAACCTTTTACAATCTTCATCGTTGCAAACTATCTTTTTCTCTCATTTCTCTCTGAAACCCTAAAACTGCAAAACCCTCTTTAAACCCTTTCTGTTCTTCATCTTCAATCATCAATGGTTGCTTCATCATCTACTGCTGTGAATGTTCTTGATGCTATCAACATTAATAAAGATCAAAGACCACAGAATGCTGACAAGCCTACTCACGTTCCAAGATCCTTATTTGTGTCTGTCAAAGAATTGGAAGTTTGCTGTGAGCTCATGATTGATCTTCCTAATCTGAGAGACAATGGGTTTGATCTGGAAGAGGAAATCCAAACTCAAGGATGGAATATGTTCTTCAACAGACTGTATGGTCCAGTCTATGATGTGCTGGTGAAAGAGTTTTGGATCCATGCTCACCCAATTCCAACAAGAATAGTGTCTAGTGTGCTGGGAGTGACTCTAGTAATTACAGAAGATCATGTGCGCAAACTGTTGGGTCTGACTGAGAAGATTGGGTTCTACAAGGCTCCTGCTGGAGGACTGTAGAGGAAGTTCTTGCTGAGGTGTTTGTAAATGGTCAGATGTCCAATAAGATAAAGAACTTGAAGAACAAGTATAAGATCTGGGCCAGAATCTTCACTGGCTGTATCTATCACAAGAAGGACTCAAGCTCTCATGATTATATTAATGCTGACCAAGTTTTTATCCTCTACTGTATAGGCACTGGCAAAAAGGTTGATCTTCCATTCATCCTTTTTAATCATCTATTTAATCATGTGTTTGAAACCAGAGAAGAGAACAGAATTAAGAGCACCAAGAATGCAAGGAAGTGGATCTCATTTGGACGACTGATCTCTGATATCCTCATTGAAAGTGGAATCATAGGATATTTGAAAGAAGCTGGAATGAAAGAAGAGTTGACTCACTCAGTAGGGAAAATCTTCAATGCCAAGTCTCTGCTGAAGAGGAAGATAATTTCCAAAATAGTTGCTCCTGCTGGACAAATTCCCTCTGATATTCCCAACAGAAGAATACCTGTTGAGGAATACCCAATGTTCAGTGACGAGGAACCTCTGGAGGTCATCCTGGAGTACATCCTCATCTGCAAGGAAAGAGGAGATCTGGTCCATCCCTATGTATTCACCAGGCAAGATGTGCTGAATGCCATCAGGAAAAGAAAAGAGTTAGCTGGAATTCAAACTGAGCTGGAGAAAGATATACTAAGGCAAGGGCCAGAAGAAGAGGAAGCTCCTCAAACTGCTGCTCCAATTGTCAAGAAGAAGAGGAAGGTTATGACTGCTGGACAGTCATCTGCTGCAGCAACTGCTGTCAGTGTAGAAGACGTAGTTGCTGAGAGCCCTGAAAAGCCTCTGATCATGAAGAGAAGGAGAACTGCTGGTCATTCATCTGCTGCTCCCGCTAAAGCTGCTGAGCCCTCATCAACAACTCCTGCTGCTGAAGTTACTGCTGATGTTGCTCCTCCAACAACTGAAGCTCAAGCTGCTGAGGCTCCTACTGCTGAAGGTCATCAAGCTGCTGAAAAGAGGAAGCCTGCTGAAGCTGCTGATGATGTTCCAAATGTGCAAGAGAAGAAGAGAAAGCTGACAGAAGACTCTGAGAAAGGCAAAGCTTCAGCTGATGGTTCAGGTATGAACACCACAATTTCTTTATCCTCTTCTAAAACATTGTCAGATGACATAAGTGGCACTAGGAATGACCAAACAGAAAACACCCTAGGTATTTCTTCATCTGAAACCTCATCATCATCATCATCATCATCATCATCATCATCATCATCATCTGATAACCATAGTGTAGAATCACCCACTGCTGTAAACCAATCCTCTGATAATACAGCCACAGAACAACCAAACACAACTACTGTAGATAATACTATTTCAAACCCTATAGTAAATACTGCAACTGATCCATCTGATAAACCATTAACCAAAATTTTAGAAGAATTTGAACAAACCGAACATAGACCCCTGTCCAAAATCTTTGAGGAATTTAACCCTATAGTTAACACAACAGAAGAAACTATTGCTAGGGCAATGAAATTTTTTGAATCAGGTGAATCTGTTGATAATCTCTTAGACAGTTTAGACCTTTCCTCACCCTAAAAATCCCTACCAACTGCTGAAACCCAAATAGAACATGAAACTGCTGAAACCAATCCTGAACAAACCACTGAACCACTAAACCAAACCACTGAACCTCCTCAAAATCAAACTGCTGAAACACCAGACCCAAACTCTGTAAACAACCAAACTGCTGAAACCCCATCTACCCAAACTGCTGAACCTTCTTTTAACTCATTCCTCAGAACTGAACTTAATGTTGAACAATTTAAAATTCTGAGAGATTTTCGCAGTCCATCCAAACTGGCTGTCCCTAATCCTAGTGCCATCAATGAAAAATTTCAATGTTTTAAGAGTGATATGAATGATTGGGTTGACGCTCTGGACAATCAGTTGGATCTTAGCCAGGATCCAGAGGATGTATTTAAAGGATGGGAAGCATTCAAAAAGGAAATGGAATTTCGGTCCAACAAAATGCAGAAGGATTGTGTAAAGCTCATGGAACAGAAGAAGGAAGCACGTCTGAAAAAGATCAGGGAAGAAGCAGAGGATCTCAAGAGATCTAAGCAAGTGCTGCATCTGGAATTTGGAGATTGGAAACCTGAATCCAATTTGAAAATAATCTGTACTAAACCAGAAGTTGAAGAAGAGTCAGAAGAGTACTTTGTGGACTTAGATGCTGCTGAGACTTCTACTGCCAGAAATGAGATAGAAGATCTGAAGAAAGACAACAAAGTGTTGCACCAACGTTTGGATTTGCATGAGAACAAGCTATCTCAAGTACTCAGCAACCAGGAAGCATCAGCTGGGGAGATGTCAGAGATAAAGAATTTGCTGATGGCCTTAGTGACCAAGCTGAATTGAAGACCTCTTTTTGTTCTTCTGTTTTATTAAAACTCTGATATCTTGGAATCTTGTTTTGATGTTTTAACTTTGTACTCTAAAATTTTGTGTTTTTAAACTCTGTCTTTTAATTTGATTGATAATTTCAACTGGTTCTCTGATATCTTAAAGTGCAAATCAATTCTTTCAATCATATCATTGCATGCATAACATTTACTTGTATCTTTAATGTCATTAAAAATCTTTTTGATTATTACAAAAAGGGGGAGAAAGTGTAAAAGGATAATCTGACATAACAGTCTGTCTAGCACTGTTTCTCAGACATTTTAACTAACAAAACACAAGTGTTTCCTCTGTGTTTTTCTCTTTCCTTTGAAATGTTTACAGGTACATAAAAGTCTGAAAGACTTATAATCTTCAAAGCACAATCTTCAATGAAAATCATCAAAGCTCTGATTGGAAATCATCTTCATGTCAAGCTCTGACGATCCCAAGCTCTGATAATCATAAAGCTCTGACAACGTGATTCATGACAAAGCTCTGATATCAAGATTAAATGGTTCAGGAATCTCAAACTTCTTCATCAAGCACTGAACTTCAAAAGTAAAGCATGGACAAAGCGCTGACAACTGATCTGCTGCCTTAAAGGACAAATCATTAACACTGATGTGCTACAACTTTGTCATAAGCTCTGATCTGCTACAATTGTTGATTCACAAAGCTCTTATCCATAAATATAAACTCTGATGAAATCTCTCAAGCTCTGATTCATAAGGTTAGCTCTGATTATCTCACGCTCTGATGAGTATCTGCTGAAAGGAAGTCAAAGCTCTGAAAATTGAAGATCTTCCAACATCAAAGTTCTGCAAGAACGAAAAATCTCAGGGAAGTTATCCTTTACCCTTCTATTTAATTCAGGGGGAGATTAATAATCTCAGGGGGAGATTTTTTCATCATATTCTGTAAAATGTTTTTAAAACCTTTTTGTTTTTGTCATCATCAAAAAGGGGAAGATTGTTAGAACATGGAATGTTGCTAGCATATCTTGGTTTTGATGATAACAAGAGTAAAATGAGGGGATCAAAGTTTACAAGAGAATATGATACTCTGACTTGGTATTTAATCCTTTATGCAGATTTCAGAACGCAGAAGTTCTGTCAGGCAAAGAGTTTCTTCTGCTGACGTTGTAAGCTGCAACCTCTGTTGAGGAACACAACAGTAAAGAAGGAAGCAAATACTGACGCTCTCTTAAGCTGCAACCTCTGTTGAGGAAAACACAGCAGGAAAGAAGAAATCAAATGCTGACGCTGCAACCTCTGTTGAGGAAGTCGCAGCATGAAGTAAAGAAATGCTGACGCTGGAAAGCTGCAAAGGAAACAAGTGATGACGCTGTCAACAACAACCTCTGTTGAGGAAACAGAAGCACATAAGAAAGAATGAAATGCTGAACTATCTCTCAGCATCAAAGCTCAAATGCTGACTTAATCACTGTAAGTGTATTATAGTCTATTTTATTCAAGCATGTCTGACTTTGCATTTAATGCAGGCACACTGCTCAAGACACATGGCTGCACGCAATTACCTTATTCAAGTCAAGTCTACTGACAAGGCAAAAGATACAAAGCAGGCATACTATGTTGAGCTAAAGGCTACATTCAACGGTCTTATCTACTGCCAATATTCTGACCAGTGAAAGCGACAACTTGTCCTTCCAACGGTAACAAATTGGAGTATAAATACTGAAGCCTGAAGAATGAAGAAGGTTACCTATCTTGAACAACTTTGCAAACAATTTTGAGAAACAAGCAAACGTAAAGAAAAGCCTTCAAGAACAACTTCATCTTCTACATTCTTTCTTTCCTATAATAGGCTTTTGTCTTCGGAAATTTCTTGTTTACATATCACTTTTGTGATCTTCTGTAAACAACTCAAATACTTTTTATTTGATCGTAAGTGCCTTAGGAGATCCAGTTGTGATCAGAATTCCTAAGAAGTCTAGGGTAGTTAACCTTAGAGGATTTTGTGTTAGTCACACAGTTAGTGTGCAGGTGTTAGTCACAGCAGTTGTCTGTGCAGGTGTTAGTCACAGCAGTTGTCTGTGCAGGATTGTTAGTCACACAGGTGTGTGCAGGAAGTTAGTCACAGCAGTTGCCTGTGCAGGTTGTAAGTCACACAGTTAGTGTGCAGGATTGTTAGTCACAGCAGTTGGTTGTGCATACTTGTAATCAGTTTGATTATTAGTGGATTAAGTCCTTGAGTGAAAAGGAAAATCATCCTAACAGGTGGACTGAAGGTAGTTGAGTTCAACGAACCAGGATAAAAATAATTGTGTTATTTATTTTTGTGTTAAAGTTTTTAAACATACACTTATTCAAACCCCCCCTTTCTAAGTGTTTTTCCACCTTCAGAATTCGCCTGGAAATCAGTTTCCTTGCTTACTTTTTAGGCTCGGTTTTTGTGAATCTTGTGGGTGAATTTTAGGCTGCAAAAACCGTCTCTTGCATTAGGATTTGTCTCAGTATTTATGTGTGAGTGATTAGGGTTGGGGGTTCTTGAGAGAAATATCTTTAATTGATAGAATTTGATTTGATTTTGGATGATGAAAGATTTGATTCAAAGTTT